GGGACGAATCGCTGCTGTCCCTGCTAGAAACTGCAAAATTATTTTATGAGGCGAATTTTGGTCTTACCCAAAGGTTCACCTGTGGCGTTGTTGAGGGCTGAACTGGGTATGGTATCCCTGAAAGCCAGGGCAAATGTAAGAATCCTCTCGTATTGGAGGAAATGTTTAGAACGACCTCAGGATATTCTAGGTGTTCAAAGTTTTGGTTTGATGTTGAAATCCTCAAAAAGATCAGATGATTACTTGAACTCTATTTTATTGAAATACTCAATCCCCGATGACCTATTGGTAAATGAAAACCAAAGGGCTAAACTGAAAGAATGGGTATTTAATAAGGATGGGCTTTTGAATCGACATATGGTAGTAAGTTGCCGTACAGCCCCCTTGTATAAGATCTTCAAAAGAGACCATTGTAGGACTGTATATCTTGAGAAACTAACTACTTTGGAGCTGAGAAGGGCTTTTACTGCCCTAAGGTTCCATGCCATACCTTCAATGGTTTGTATTGGTCGCTTTCTGGGTGCCCCTGCCGCTTCTAGAATATGCCTATGTGGTATGGATGAAGTGGATGATGTCAAGCATTACATTCTGAGATGTTTATGGCATGAATCACTTAGGCAAAGGTTTATTTATCCTATTGTACCTCTGTATAATAGAACTGCTGAGCAGGATTTGACCGTGTTCTTGCTTTCTGATACTGATGCACATGTTACTAGCAGAATGGCTTTGTTTGCACTGGCGGCAAAAAAGATAAGACGGAGTCTAGGACTTACTGCAAGTTATTGATGTATATTTCTGTTGTGCTTTGATTTACTTTGTGCTGTTATGGCCAATGGCTAAGACAATAAACGAAACTTGGTATAGATGCAGGGCACCCTTGCAATAAATTTACACATTTAATGTCTCCCAACTCCTAAATTTTGCTTCCCTAGATTGCTATCAAGTGGCTGGTTTTTGCAGTCCTAATGTTAGCTATAGATTATGTCATGCTAAGGTCATGCTGGCAACAGGCCAGTTTTATGCTGTATATGTGAGGCTGATTAAACTTAGATCAATATAGAACAGCTCTTGCAGTAGCATCTCAGTGCTGGAACTCACTAGGCAGGAAGTATCTGTGGGGGGAAAACTTAAATAATCCATCACTGGCATGTATCCTACCATTCTGCTCTAGCTTTTTCTCTAGAAGAGCTACTGAAGTAGCAGTATGTGCAGAGTTCATAGTTTGAATTACTTTCCCAAGATATACAGTCCTGATTATTGTTAATGCTTATTTTATTATCTAGGATAGAGGATTATTGGCATATTTTGCTAACTTTCGTCTGCTTGCAGAATTCTCTACCCCTTTTGTGAATCAGCGGTAAGTGATATTTCTCTTACTTTAATAAGCTGTCCTTAATTAGCCTCCTGCTTTTTAATAATCCAGTGGCTGCAGATCTGGGAAGCCTGGGTTCGGATCCTACTTCTGACATGACTTGGTGTTTTAATCTTCAGTGAGTTGCGGTTTCCATCTGTAAGACATTAATTGTAGGGCTGTTTAGATGGCAAATATGAATATAAATCACTTTACTAATTGGAAAGATGTGGCGTACTGAATTATCCAAAATGGCTACTACTAAACTTTCTAAATTGGTAATACAGATGGATAACTGTCTTCATAAATATTCTCAAACTGCTCTTCATTGTCATCAACACCCACCCATGTAGCTGCTTATCCACTTCCAAGCAGGACTTCTTAACAACATGACTGTACATAGAAAAGAAGATGGCTTCTAAGTTAAATTAAGATTTCTTCATGAAAGGATGCTTGAAAGCGAGTAGAGTTTTTTGGCAGTTTAAAGACTAATAATTGGATCCAAAGTTTCCATTCTGCTAACAGTGGAGACTTTTTCTGACAGAAGGTTTCACCATTAGGGTTGGATCCAGAGTTTCCATTCCTCTAACATTAAATGTAGCATGAGTTTTCATGAACTATGCAAAGCTGTTCCAGAAGATGCATGAAGTGTATCTTGACATATAATAAACACACATAAAGATACAACTGTAGTGGAAAATGTGAACAGTGAACAATGAAATATGGAATGTATAAACTTTGACATTTCTATATAAAATTAAAGATAAGATAAAGATAACAGCAGGTAGGCCTAGTTTTGTTAAACTGATGAACACCTGTAGTGGATAATGGTCTTTATTAAAGCTTTTGCACAAATAGTTAAACTTCCTGAAAATTATGATCCTGCAGTTTCACTAGAGATTTGCTTAGAAGCTCTACTTAGTAATGGTGACTTTTCTGTTGAACGATATATTTTTGGAGATTTTAATATTTTCCCAGGAGAATCTGAATATTGCCTCTTTATGTCATTTATTTATTTTTTGTATAAACTGACATATTTATCATATATAGACAGCAGAAAGGCATTAGGCCCCTTAAGCCAATATATCTGTGGCAGATTTAGAGCTGCTCTTATTCCCAAACACTTCTCCTGGTTGTTGTAGATTTTCCAGGCTGTATGGCCGTGGTCTCAGCATTGTAGGACCTGATGTTTCGCCAGCAGCTGTGACTGGCATCCTCAGAGGTATAACACAGAAAGATGGAGTACTCTCTGTGTCAAGGTGAGAAGAAAAATGGTAGGCAGGTAATTTATATCTACTCAGGAAGGTGGGGTAGGACTGAGTCATTATCTTGTAGGAGTTCCCCAGGCTGTGACATGCTAATGGAGGAGCTTTCCTGAGGAGGTTCTTTTGCATATGGATTAGCAGTTGAAATTCTAATTTTATCTGTACTGCTATTGTAAGATGTAGAACATTTTGTGTTTTTCAGGACAGGAAACCATGCCCTGTCCTGAAAAACACAAAATGCTCTACATCTTACAGTAGCACTACTGATAAGATTAGAATTTCAACAACCAATCCATATGCAAAAGAACCTCCTCAGGAAAGCTCCTCCATTAACATGTCACAGCCTGGGGAACTCCTACAAGATAATGACTCAGCCCTACCCCACCTTCCTGAGTAGATATAAATTACCTGCCTACCATTTTTCTTCTCACCTTGACACAGAGAGTACTCCATCTTTCTGTGTTATACCTATGAGGATGCCAGTCACAGCTGCTGGCGAAACGTCAGATCCTACAATGCCGAGACCACAGCCATACAACCCGTAAAATCTACAACAACTAATGAACTCCGGCCATGAAAGCCTTTGACAACATACTTCTTCTATACTTGATACACTGGTGACACCTGCAAAATCTGGACCTTCAGGAAGAAAGCCCTAGAACACGTGAAACTGCCATATATTGAGTCAGACTGTTGGACTATCAAAATCCTTACTGTCTGCTTCGACTGGCAGAATCTCAAGGCGTTGTCTTTCACATCACATACTATCTGATGCCTTTAACTGGAAATGCCAAGGATTGAACCTAGGACGTTCTGTGTGCAAAGCAGATGCTCTGCCACTGAGTGATGCCCCCGCTTCATATAACTAATAAGCATCATACATTTCTAGATCTGATAAACTAGACTCTAGTTCATGAAAATGTATACCACAATACAGATTAGTTTTATGTGTGCCACAGTTTTTGCTGCAGTTTACTAACTTGGCCAATCCTCTGGAATATGAAACTGTATTTGGTTTGCCAAATGGATGCATTTTCAACAGTTGGACTTTGAAGAACTGCATATAGATTGGCATGATGCATCTCCCCCCACCCTGTTAGGAGGTATTTTTTAATATATACCTTATCTCATCATAACTGCATCAGGATACATACAAGTCAAAAGATACTTTTCTGTAAAATGTATTTTTCTAAATAAGTTGGTTGTAATATACATACTTTCATGGCTATATATCAGTAAAAGTGTTTACTTATAATGAATTGCTCAAGTAATAACGGGCACGCTAACAACATAATTCTCTTTTTGTATCAAACAGATAGGTATATTTTTTGAAAAGTCAAGCGTGGCTATTTCTGCTTAGAATCTGCAGGTGCTAACTCATCATTTTTTCCTTTTTAATTATCTTGAATAATTCATACCTTCATTCTCCTTTTGACTCCAGATATTTTTAGATACAGCAGCTCTTGTGTTTTAAATCTTGAGACTCCAGTTCCTTTAGTCACTGTAGCTTAGGGAACACTGCAGAAGCTTTTACCCTTTTGATGACAGGTCAATGAGCTTGGCCTTTTGCAAGCTACGCTAGAGCTGTGATACTTCCTTTTTGCTTATCTTTTCTGGTATGCAAGTAAGAAATAAATAACCTTTCTGCTAGAAGGTACACTGGCCTATTGAAAATAATACCATTAACAGTTACAGTGTGACTTCTGCTCGTGGCACAAAAAATAATAATGCCTGAACAACACACTTTCACTCTTTCTGGAAACTGGGGCAACACTGGCCATGAGAAGGAAACATGGAGCTGGATCTTTCAGCATAATAGTTTTGGCGGGGAAATCCCCTTCATGGTGGAGAAAGAATCCACATGGCAGCAACTCCCATATACTGAATTTCAGAAGGGGCCTCAGGGATAGCTATTTTTGTTTCTTGTACCTAGATATTACAGGGCAGTTGCTTGTTTGAAGGGAAGAGCAGAAGGGATATATTTATCATCATAATGAACTATTAAGATGTGCGTTTTTCTAAATAGTGCAATATACAGGAATGGTTAGCACACATACATTTTTAAAATGTTCTTGCAAACTTTGTCATCTTGCTTAAGGTGTTGAATATAAGTTATCCATCTTTTTGTGGTGTCCATGTTGAGCCATTTTAAAGCATGGTGTTGTGAAGCCTTATCAATGCAAAAGGGCAAAGTGTCCCCAAAATAACTAAATTGCTAATTATCTGACAAGGGCGGAATGTGGTCTGATAGGTATTAGGATGTTTACTGTTCCATCAGTTTGCATGTATCAATTACTTATGAAGCAAACCAGATGGTAATGTTTATAATGCTAGTTTACATTCACACATCTGTTTATTGCATTAACAAAAACAGCCAAGCTGTGCTGTTCAGTCGTATTTTAACTTGTGAACTCTGTAACCTTTATAAACCAAAGCATCTTTCACAACTTGTCAACAGAAATGATTGAAGGCAGCACATTGTGTTTAACCACAGTCCTTTTTTAAATTCAAAGAGACATATTTGATGTGCTTTCTGAGAATATCTCTCTGCTAAACCAAATCTAAGTTACCATCCTGAATCTTGGAATTCTGTCTTGAGTATCACTTCGCTGGAACCACTGTGGCTTTCAAGTTTAAACAGATTACATACCTGCATGCAAAAGAAGTCATACTGTACTCTAGCATAGGGTCCCACTTGCACTTACCAGTGGAATATACCCTCCAAGCTGAGCCAGGGCATATATCCTACCAGAAATCTTAGTAACGTCCTGCTTCTCTTCTGTGACAAATTGTAAGTTATAGAAAAGGTCCATTCCATGTTGCTCCCATAGGTCTATCCAATGTTGCTCTAACTATTATAATGGAGAGGCCAGGTAAGAGAATCATACAGAAAAATCATACCAGTGCCAGAAATGAGATTGGATGTGTGTAAGTGGGGAAACACATTCCTACTTCACCAGTGTGATGTGGAGCTGAACCACAAGAGAGCAGTAACAATGCCAGTCCCATCATGTAAGTCTTTACCTTGTGCCGTTTAGGGAAAATTGTGAGGGGAGGAAAGCTATAGGATTGATGGCACTTGTATAAAACGGGATCATTCTGTTTTCCAGCACTTTTTTGCAAGCTGAAATGAAGCAATGTTGATCCGTTTGTACTTTCATTTAGATCAGAGACTTTCACGACATCTAGTTTAAATTCAAAACTCATTGCTAACACTCCATTCATTTCAATCTGCCAGCCAAAATCAAGAACATCCAGTTACAAGAATAAAAATTCCATTATTTGGCCATGATATTTAATGCTGTATTCAGACAAGACAATAAGCTGTGGTTTGTTTAAACAGTGGTTTGTCTACTGGATGCTCTCTGTATCTTAACAGGACTGACATCTTCCCTATACTCCCATCTTTCAATGTGGTTTGTAAATTCAGATGTCACAGCAAACCACAGTTGGTATAAACTGTGGTTAGTAAACTGTCTGAACTCTCAGTCTGGTGTAAACCAACAAAACCTATTTTGTTGGACTGTCTATATTTAGATGTTTTAACTAACTGGGGTTTGATCAAACCATGGTTCCTGAGCCATAGTTTAGTATGTCTGAATGCTTGATGAGCTATCAGCTAGCAGAGAGGAGGTATAGCTAGAGAATGTCCTTTAAAAGCACTGTGCAGCTGGAAATGCAAGGGTTTCCATTGGTCCATGCTTTCATTTCTTTATGCAGGAGGCTAAAAGTGCAATTCTGTGCAGAGTTACACCCTACACTATGCCAGTAGTGTAACCATGACGGAGGAAACACTGGTGTAAGAATTGGCTCTCCGTACTGTTTACCATACTAACATATATTGACCAGTAGGCTTAGAATGGTGTAATCCTCCCTAAGATTGCACAGTAAAAGGGCCAGTGCAACTGAATAAACTGTTATTTCTGCATCCAAACATAAACTACAGTTAGTACAAGTCACAGTTAACAAACCCAGTACAAACCATGGTTTAAAATTTCAGTTCAGTACCTATCAACAGATCACAGTTCCTGGAACACCCTATTTGGTAAGCCATCACACTAAGCCAATATTTAGTTGAACTGTGGTTTATCAAGAATGCAGAGTAGTTACAAAGAGCCCAACTGCAGTCAGTGATATTGCCACATTTGCGATGTATGTCACACAGTATAGTCAAAACAGAAAGGATATACAATTAGAGAAAGCTTCATATGTTTAGCGAAGTATTCCTTGAAACTTGTAGGCTCCAGTCACATGGGCAGGAAAATGCGGGGGGGGGAGCGTGGCTCTTTGCCCTGGGGCAAACTAACGCAGGGTTAAGCAATCAGACCTCCTGTGGAGGTCCCGTGGGTAGGGAGAGGTGCCGATCACAGGACAGTCCTGCGCACAACAAAGAAGCGGCGTGGTGCAGCGAACTGGGTTTTTTTTCCGTGTACACCAAAAATGCGCATGCTCCGTTGGGTGCTTGTGCGCATCCACGAAGACTTGGGGGGAAAAAACCTTTTTTGCAAGGGGGCATGGGCGGGCGCCGGATGCCACCGGAAATGCGATCAGACGCCCGCCCTTGCCCCACGGTTTCCGGAAACTAGTACCTCCGAGGTACTAGTTTTTTGCCGCGCGTCTTCGGCGGGAAGCCTCGGTTGAGCCAAGGGAGCGCTACGCTTCCCAGATGTGCCGGTGAGATCGCGCCCGGAAAATCCGCCTGTCTTCCGTCTCTCTAGCGTGGCTAATGTTCCGTGTGACCGCAGCCGTAGTTGTTTTTTAGGAAGTTTTTAGAAATAAAACATTTATAAAAGGCAGGAATTCATAAATGGGATATTAGTATAGCTGATGAATTCCAAGATCTCAATTTGTGTTTGTAAAGAAGAAATATGACAAGCATGCCATCTACTTGATTTGATTTGTGTGAATGTCTTTTCTCTCATAGGTGGTTTTTTGAAGTGTTGGGGTATTCCAAGTCTTCAAAGGGCAACATTGTCAATGGAGTGCTCATGACAGTCGTGTTTTTCCTGGCGAGGATTGCAGTCATGCCAGTATATTATAGCCATGCTGCTTTTGAGTATGGAACAGAAGCTTTCCACAGATTAGGATTTGCAGCTCAAAGCGCCTGGTTTATCTCCAGCATTGTGCTGGATGTCATGAACTTAATGTGGATGGTCAAAATTACAAAAGGATGTTGCAAAGTTATTTGTCTTATTGGACGAGGAGAAGTCAAAGCTCATAAGAATGGAAAATCTGACTAGAAGACTTAAAAAACACACACCTCTGAACAGCATTTTTTTGATTCATCGAAAGAACAATGCACACTTTTGCCATAAAAAGTTCCTCTTAAGGAAAGAAGGTATTACCTCTTTAAATTTAGCCTTTCCTTTGCCCAGCTGCCTGGACACCCAGGGCCACTTCATTTAAAGACTTAACATTTGGTGGAATGGGAAACAAAGACATGTTGCATATACCTTGGCAGCGTGTTTTAATTACAAATGAACCTGTAAAGGAACAAACTCTTCTAGCACTATGTTCCTAAGAATTTTCACTCAGGTTTCTTAGACTAATGTGTTTTTAATGCCTGTGAACGCCAGGATCTCTAGTTTACGTTCTGTTAAAATGACAGCTTTTCCTGGCATGTTTCTCTGCTTTCTCAGTGTTTGGTGTTCATAATCAAGGTTTCCTTGTTTTGACAACTTTTTTTTAAACATTTTTGCAAGTATTTTGCTTTGAAACTGTGATCTTTTACTGCATTTTCTGCTGCCTTACATGCATGGATACAACCTTTTGGGATTTATAGAGCAATTTTACATAAACTGATCTAAATTAGAATTTGGGATTTCTTTTTTTAACTATTATATTCTGCTGTGGATAAACTGCTGCTCTTTCCATCCTTTTTTAAATTATCTGAATTCCATCACATGTTAGCATGGTACGCTGTGTGGAGATAAAAGCAAATTCTTACTTTAGTGTTACTTCTGTGTCATGGCTATTGGGACCTGTATATGTTTTTAGTGTATTGTCATATAACCAAGACATTGTTATGGTGTGTAACTTACTGAAGGAGAAAACTCCAAGTTTGGAATGTAAATGGGTGTCAAAATAGCTGCTGAGCGTGTTAATCAAAGTTTAATGTTTTACTAATCACATTCAATTTTCATTTAGAAAAATACATTAGAAAAAAAGCCCAATGACACCAAATTCTTATTTTAAAAAAACACATTTTCTTTCATTCTTTCCAACATTCTAGAGCAATTGTGCAAAGCCCATACATTAATTGCTGTCATAAAAAACAACTATACTTCGAAGTTGCTCACCTTTTAACAGAAATTTGCAAATGTGTGTTGCTGATGAAGACTGACTAAAAAGGAAGCCTTTGTAAAGAAAAAATTATTGAAAAACATGTTTGCATTAATTGTACACAAATTCTCTTCTAATATGGCCTTCAGATTATCTTTGTGTATTTATTCTTGAGCTGTTTCTGAAATAATCAGATATTCACCTGTACTTGTGTTTAAAGTTTTTTAATATTGTATGTCATACTTTGCTGCTAATGTGGTGTTCATTTTTATGTTTGTGATGCAGATATGCCGGAACACTAGAGAACAGGATGTTTTGACTTATTATTTTTGAAATACTTCATATATTCCTGTTGAATAGTAGCCTAGTGTTGCTTTCTAAGCAAACCTTATACAAAAGATTATTTATATTCTGAAACAGATAATAGCCTATGGCTACTAGATAATATAGGCACAAAGTAAGTGTTATTAAAACATGGAGGTACTCCTGTTTTTTCCAGATCTCTCCAAATTCTCTATCTTGGGTTCAGAAGATGCCATTTTAAGTATCCCATTTTTGTTACGTCAGTTAAGCCAATTCCAATCATTATCGGTTCAAATCATGTTTATCTCTTAAAGGTCTGGCAGAACAAATAGTGACTTGCATATGTGAAAGATCAAAACCACTGAAGAGGTTTCCTATTTCCTTGAACATGGTGCTTTCTGTAGAGGCCCTTCACACTTTCAGCTCTGAGTCATCAGCTGATGTGCATCAGTGTGTGAACCAGCCCATAGCTATTTGTTTACCAAACAGTCATTTTCTATTCTAGAGGTGGGGTTGGGGGGACAGAAAAGCCTTGCAGAAATTCAGATATAAATATCTGCATTTTTTTTCCTCGGTGGAAATGCAATGATTGCTAATGACCCATAATTTTTATAGTCCAGGCTTGTTGCATGATAAAAGATGGCTGTTTTGCACAAACAAATACTGAGTTCTGTTTAGGCCTCTTGTTTTGATTTGCCATTTCTGATTTAGAAACAGTGCCTTCTTACAGGTTCTAACACATTTGCTATTTGCAAATTGGCTGCCTTGAGTTAATAGTTGAAATAGAACTGAATATTTTTGTTAGCATCCTACATTAAAAACTTTCTGAAAGTAGTGACCTGATCTAATGTGTCAAGAGCAATATTCAAGAAAAGGAGTTGCTACTAATACAGTAAAATGGATGGAAGTAACCGTGAAGCTCTTCTTGCTTCTGTTTAGAACTAAAAGCTTGACTGTGTAAGTCTATCAGTTCAGACACATTTGAACACTTTAAAGATCAACACAACTTTTTGGTGCTTTTCTTTATCATTTCAAGCATTGAAGAAGCACTGAAGATTGGCACACTTCCCATTCTCTGCACCACAGCCATAGCAGAGTGGCAAAATCCCCACCACTACAACCTTGAAGCAGTAACGATGTTCATCCTTCTCTGAGAGACCCACTCTCCTTTCCTTGCTACTGGTAAAAAGACTGCTACAAATTGAATCCAGCTGTGGGTACCAAGAGCAGTAGCAAAATCCTATTGAACAGGAAAGTTTAAATGTGTGTGTTGGTGGCTGGCAGAACCAACAAGTCAGCACTTAAATATGTGTATCCATACTGATTTAGAGTGTGGGCGAGACCTAATTGGGTGGCTGTGCCCCTTTGATTTTTCTGGGAGTTTGCATTAGGACAGAAGGAGCTCCCCAGTTTGTCCACACAGTATCATGTTTATAGCAGAACACTACTGATATATTTGCAAGTCTCTTCACTGTTGAATTGGACTACAGCATGACAGTACTTTGCAGTATCTGAAAATCCTCTTCAAAACATTTCAGTCATACTGTTTGAAATAGCCCTTCATACATACAGTATGGCTGGCTGGTATCCAAAAAGTCTATTAGGCAGCTGCAGCCTTCCTCCATGTTTTTCCCAGCTACATTTTGAGGGTTTGTGGTCTGAATGGAATTGTGGGGGGGGGGGGGGATCACAGTATGTGTAAAATCTTTCCACATGGCTTTCTGTACCCCAGCCTATAACCTGAAAAGTTCAAAACATTTATACAATCAACCACTTGCATAATGGAAAATGCTATTTATCTAACATTCAAATTAATACGGATACATGGATTTGGTTTAGATCAGCAGTGTTTATTACTGGGGGAAAATCTAAACAGATCATTGTCCATTTTCCCATTTTCCCTTTTACTTACATGGAACAAAAGAGCATGTTCTTAAAGTTTTTACATTTGAGGTGCTGTATAGGAATTTAATGCAACTTTCTTATTTGCAGAAGGAATTGACATGTTGGAATGAGGCTGTTGTCAGAAAATATGTACAAGATGCATAAGCAGAAAGCTCACTTTTGTTTATTTAAAACTGGTAAACTGCTTTTCTGTCGAAGTACCAAAGCAGTGTGCACTTCCATTCATTTCAATGTAAGATTTTTTTTTAATACGATATACCGTGAAAGAGGTGAGGTCCTATGGCAGTGAATGCTTTCTTGCAGCATCCATTGTAAACGGTTTGCTATCTTCCTACCCTAAGTTTAAAGTATGTATCTTCAATCTGATATATTTTACAATCCTCTCATAATACAATTCTCTAAACTCTTACTATCAGAATAGCAGAATACTGTAGGTTGGGAATGGCCAAAGTGTGTCCATTGGATTGCATTACATTCAGCCTTCCACATGATTTTTTTGACCTTCATAACCACACCTGTGCAGAAATTTTATATCTGCACTTGAGGGTGTGTGGGGAAATCATTCTCAGTAAAGGAGAGATGGCATGAAGACAAAAAAGAGGAAGCTGACACCTGCCTGAGTTGGTGGTGTACCTCTTAAGCCTCATATTTTCGTTGCTTAGTATCTAGAATGCTTGTGAGTCTTTCCTGTCTACTGTGAACCTGGTACTGATGGTCCAACTATACATGTAAAGTTCCTGACGTTCCTTCATATTAAAAAGCAGTCCTGGGGATCACTGATTTTGTCCAGGGGCATGACACTGGGTGGTTAACTATGCCTAAATTGAAGCAGTGCTGGCAAGATGAAGTTTCAGTATTCTGATAGAAGAAATGACTAGTAACCAATACCGAATTATGGGTACAATTCACTGAAAAGCCCCATTGTCCAGCTGAATGGGTTGTACAGCACAGCTGTACACATGTTTACTGACAAAAGCATCCTACAGAGTCCAGTGGAGTGGTTCTTGCCTAGCAAGTGTGGTTAGAACTGAAGTGTTAGGGGTGAACTTCCTTGGGCATCTTGCATCCATTTTGGTATTGCATATCTCAGAAAATGTTATTGGTGGATTGAGTCCAATAACTTGCCAGTTAAGTCCATAAATCACTTAAACTGGTAGGACCAACCTTAGAGCTAGTATTTTATTTTGCATAATTTGCAGCCGTTACTAGTTTCATCTTTAGGAAAACATTGCTTCAGCCTAAATTTGAAGAAACAATCTTGTTTATCAGTTTTAGCACAGAGAATTCTGTGGCTGAGGAAGAACTAAAAATGCATGAGAATTTCTGTTCTGGTTGCGTTTGGCTCCTCTCCACTGAAGGAGTTATCATGGTTAGAAAGATGCGTAATGTAATGCTAAATAACAAATAACTTCAATTTAGCTTTACTGTGCACTGTTCAAATACTAAAACATCTGCAGAAATAACAGAGTAAATTAGTGTTACGAAAATTGTTTTCAACATCCAGGAATGATTTAATGGCTCAGATATGGAACATCTTTTGCAGTGTAGCAGAAAATCTTAAATAAGCTTAGATACAAAAGAAATGTGCAATTAGTTGTATGATTCCATGTTGGTTTGGGACAGTTTCTTTGATTTCCATGCTGTATGGTAAGCTGCTTTTGAAATTGTGGATATTTTGAAAGCAGTTCCATAATGGCTCTTGCCATTCTGGGGCGGTGTTTTTTTTTTTAATTCTCAGTACATGTAGGCAAGACTTTGGCTATGCCTGAAATATAAACTCTCTTGATCTTAGCCAATGATAGGTTGACAATCCTTTGAAACCTGGCTGTCTTGATTAAAATTTAGCCTACCAGTGTCTTAGAAGAGTAATTTAAAACAAGTATGAAACAACAAAATATATCCTGACACACTAGTTACTTGGGTTTGGTATGTTTTTATGCATTGTGATTTATTTATTTTTGGTAAACAAAAAGCTGCACTAGCTTCAGCCACTTTGTTGATAATGACCATAAAATCTTTTTTGGTGGTTCTTTTTAAAATCTTAATGCTTACAAGGTAAATATGTTAGCCTTCTGGTGGGAAAACTAAGAACTTGATCATATTTGCACTAGTAGTCTAGTCCTAGCTGAGAAACCAAGCTGAATGTCCAAGTGATATTATAGGAGGATGTGTACCTTTTATCCAGAAATAAGATATATCTATAATTGTCCAGCATTACAGTACTTGGTTAGAGTCCTCTCTTTGAAGAAACAAACTGTTAGAACTGCATAAAACAGATTGTATAGGGAT